CAAGAGGGCTGGGAAAATACTCGATGTTGGCCGCAGCTGTTGCTCCGGCTTAAGCGGGTTAAGGAAAAAAGGATGAGAGCCGGCACACAGTCCACATGAACTGACCACTTGAGTTGGCCTAATTGGCTGGCCAAGTGTTGGTTATTTCGGAACATGAACTCCAAGGTCCCTGAATGCGGTTTCCTTTTCGCCACTGAACATCTACCACTAGAACTCATTTAGCTTGGTTTTCCTTGTGGCTAGAGGGTCTCTATATGTTAAGTAAGAGATAAGGCTTACAAAATATAAAAGAATTAATGTACTAAAAAGAAGCTATTGTTCTAGTCATACAAAAAAATCTGCAAATATAGACTTCTTAAATTACACAATTTGTTAATCTCTTTGTATTTTTATGATCCTGTTATTTGTTGTAGAATAATTTAATTTGTTATCTAGTTTTTAAGGTGTAAAAAATGTTTTTTATAAGTTTACAATGTTTTAAAAAATGGAATTTTTTGATTGTGTTTTTTGTGAAATTACCATAATTTTAAATTCAGTGTCATTTTATTTTCGGTGCCTCTCAAGCCTTCTCGCACTTGAAACCTTTGACTAAAGTGCTCTGTGATTAGCTTAGCCCCACAGCAGACTCCATTAGTGTGAAAGGGCGTGGCAGTGCTGGCCTTATCTAGAATGCCCCTCAAAAAAAAATCCGAAAGCAACACTATGCGTGCGCGAAAAATTCATCATCCATCAATCCATCTGTCCGTCCACTTTCAGGCTGAGCTGAAATGTGGGCCGTCGGAAAGGGTTACGCCCAGTTTTAGTCAAGGACCAACACCGAAACATTCATGTGAATTACCAACAACTCCGATGGCGGCAACAGAAATGGCGGCGCCGGAAACGGAAACGCAAGAGCGTGTTTGAGCAGAAGCCCATAATTTTGCATTAGCAGCTACCGAAAAAGGCAACAGAAACACAAACAGAAACATCAACTGAAACATGCAGCACAGCAACAGACATTGACAGATAACAGACTGGAGTTCAGTCACATGTGAGAGCACGTGATAGGAATTCACAGGTGGAATCAGGCGCGTACAGGTATTAAATATGTTCAACATCGTTGGCAGCTCACTAATCAAATGGGCATTAGAAATCGAGAGGAGCGTGTTGGAAAATGGTAAATTAGGGAATTAGCTGGAGCAGCTTAAATAGTACATTTATGCCAATTTCTAACTCACTCATCAAATAAACATTTGCAATAGCGGGTGACTAATTTCAATGCTATTGCATTATTTATTCATTGAATTGTTTAATAGTCAAAGTGTTTTAGAGTTTAATAGGATAATAATATTTTAGCAAAGCTGATGATAGTTTGGTCGAAATCATATAATGAATAACACTATTGAATACAGTTTCCGGATGAATATTTTAATACAATTCTTTCGAAGAGCTGTTAGTTTTATGATAATTCAAGTAGTAACCTCTCTCATTAATTTTACCTTTTGGTAAAAAAGCCATAAGATTATTTTTAATACTAAAAGGATACCTTAAGCCCAGCTAAAAATGACTGACCTTGGTAAGTTAACCATCTTTCACCGTCGTCCTGCGTCCTAAGTATAATTAGTTTTGCACTAACTGGGGCGTAAAACGAAACTCAGACACATAACAGAGCTGAACGCCTCCAGATCGAACCAAACCGTAGCGAAGTGAAGTGAAGCCTTTGCCTGCCCCAAAGAAAATCATTAAAAATATTTGCCTGCACGCGCTGAGCCGCCTCGTCATCCAATCAACCATCGACATCGCAGCACCACCACTACCACCGCAACCACACCACTGCCAACAGCCACCACCAAAATCGACACCACAACCGCTGGCCATCCAGCTCCTGGCCATCGAAAAAGGAGGCAGAGGGCCGAATTTGGGGCATAAAAATTGTTGCTTACTTGGCAAAGATGTTTATCACACCGTCGGGTGGCTGTATAAAAAAAAGTGGGACAGACCGGCCTGGTCTTCAGCCCAAACTCTGCACATTGGTCTAATGCATTGAATGGCATTTTTAATTACAAATTGAAAAAGGTTAAGACTAAACACTCCAACTTATACCTTCAACTTTTATGACTTTATTAAAAATGTTTCTTAAATATTAGTAATTTAAAATACTTTATATTTATTGAAAAATTAAATTAAGGTTTAGTGCTGCATCTTCAGGCATACAAAATTGGAAGCTCGTCTAGCTTAAAACGTATTCGAAAATATCTTGAAAATGTAATATCAATGAAATCAAATTTTTGATATTCAAGGATTAAATGCATTTTTTGATTTTAAGCCTGAGTGAAAAACCAACTTAGAAACAACCATTCTAACTATAAAAGTAAACTAAAGAGCAAATGGCGTAGCAATGTTAGTACTTTTTTGCGCAAATCCTGAACCACAGTGTTGTGGCCAGTGCGGTTGGCAATGTAAATATTTTGCCATTTGGGCTTTCTCTTGGATTAGTTTCATTTATTTCATCATTTGCGCGTCTCACTAAACGCATGCAGCGCCTTATCCAGCCGGGCTGAGTCCTGAGTTTGTTATCCTGAGCTGGGTGTCCTGTCTGGGCGAGAGTATTGCCCGGGCTCAGTGGTCGGTTGGCGGTCCGGTGGGGGGATAAGAATTTAATCAGGCCGCTGGGGACTGTAAAGCGACGCCGCCCGCTGCTAACATAGAAATGTAGGCGCTGCCCAGAAACATCACAAAAAAACAACAACAAAAAGAAACGGAAACAGAAAACACACAGAGAACAAAACTTTCCTTAAGCGTAATGCTGCGCAGAAAAAAAATGTTGGACTTAATATTTTCTGATAACTTAATATATTTTCATAAAAATATTTGTATTTTTTATTTACCTTCTTCTCGAGCAGAAATAATATGAAAATTTAACAATACAATTTATAGATGGAGAAAGAAACTATGATAAATTTAAAATACTACTAGGAAACATAGAGGACACTATCAAATTATATATAATATATTATTTTCAGTCTATACATTATAACTAGGTCTGCAGATTTTGAAAATGCATTGCCTAGTTTTCTTTGTTAACTCAAGGCCTAAGCAATTCTATTCAAATTTTCTCTATGTGCAATCGTTGCTGTCGAAATGATGACGATGGCGATGACGAGGTCCGCCCGCTAAAAGGAAAATGTTAGGGGGACTATTTGATTTTTCCTTTGCACTCTTCTCTTTTTTTCTGCGCTTTTATTATTCGTTACAAGTGTGTGAAGTTGTAATTTAAGTGTGTGAGTGGTTGGGGCAAGTGACACGCCCACCGCCCATTAAAGGCGGTCTTCAAATGCCACTGGAGGGGCCATTGATTTTCCTCTCTCTCTTTATTTTCCCGCTCGACATGCCTTTAAAGCAAATTCCGACTATCCACAGCAATCAGTTTCAGTTGCGTCTTGATTTTCGCTTTTGATTTCATTGGGATTAGTTGGGAAAAGGGGGCGTCTGATGCCATCCCATATCCAGCTGACATTGACGAGTGTCAGGCACATGTCCGCCACACAGCCGTGCCACACTGACTTGGCTTAAGCGTGGACGCAACTGGACATCGAGTGGCCAAATCGGAAGTGGAAGTGAAGGAGAGCGGGAGCGGAACTTATTGGCTGCTGCAGGATGGACCACAGGTGGGAGAAGGGAGGAGGAGTAGGTCCTCCGGCATCTTGCTCCTCCGATAGTTGGTGAAAAGTTTTTAGTTCGGTTTTAGGGTAACATTTTCCTCACCACTTATTGAATAAATTCATCGGAATTTTGTTTTTACTAGCTTCTTGTGTGACTTAGTGATGGTTTTCCCTCGTGTGGCTTTATTTTTTATGAAACCATTTTGTTTGCGAAAAGCATATTGTTGAAAAAGTTGGGGAAAATAAAGGGACAGGAGATCAAAACAAATAAAAGGGTCTACTTCAATTACTTTCTTGAAATGAATTATAAATATTTAATATGATAAGATATGTGACCTAACTATAAGTTCACGGGTTCCCTTAACGTAATGAGAATTTCATTTAAACAAATCGAAATTGAAGAAATATAACTGAAGCTTGTATTTGTTTTGGTAAATGTAATGTTCTTGGTTTTTGTTGATTTATATTGAAGAAAAAGTAATTAAAACTAATCACTTTTTAATCTTTTCACACTTTTTCTGCGGAAAATAACTTAAATTTAAAATTTGTAAAGTTATTTTGGAGATATTCGATATTATTACCATAAAACCCGACTGATTTGGTTTATTGGGCAAAAATATTAGAACACAATAACATGTGTTGTAACAATTTTAATTTAATCTACAAAATAAAGGACAAAGTTCTTGAATGGATTCAAATTGGGAAATTCCTTGATAATGCGTTGATTGCATAGTGGAGCATAAAAACGTCTCCTCACCTATTGCCATTTGCAAAAGCAATTGTAAAATGATTGCCGTTTGAATAATTGAACCGGAAAGCTCCGCCTTGTTAGAAAAAGGTGAAGGAACTCCAGCAAGTAGGGCAAAATATTTCCTAGAATTGCACCGAAGACCACTGATGGGTTAAATAATGATTGGCTGGTCAGGCGACCAAAATTCATTGGAACTTGCCATGCCGGATGGCCTTGATCTGGAAGTGGGCTTAGTTTGCGCCAGAACAGGATGATTTTCCAGTTCGCTTGTAGGTCCTAATCTCGGGGCTTTGAGCTCGATTGGAAGGGCTTCTCAGTCAGCTGGTCCGGTGGTTGGCAATTATTTTTAGCCCATTGTGTGTATTTGCCTCCGCGCGGACCAACTGTCTGGGTAGGCAGGTGAGTGTTTATTTTCGCCAATCAATATTCCACATACTCCCAATCGATACGGCACTTGGCATGGCCGCAGGGCGCACGAGGCGTATGATTGATCTAATTGATAGCCAAGATTGATGGCGCAATCTCGGCAGGTGTGCGCTGCCTGAGTGTCTGCCGTGTCAACCGAGTGTGTGTGTGTGGACAATAAATCTCAATTGCAATCGACTTACATGCACTGGATTTCCTCGGCTTCCAGCTTTTAGCTGCAACAGCAACAGTTGACCATAAACACCTGCATCAAACTTGAACTTTAACTGGTAGTTTTTTTTATATGTATATATTTTTTGAAAAGTTTGATTATTTTTGGAGTCAAGACCCCTACAGTTCTTCACTCGAAACCGCGACTTGTCAACGATTTGTTAGCGACTTGCGAGCGGCCAGCGAGCGACTGAAAACGCGACTTGGCAGTCCAAAGGACGAGCGTGGACTGTGACACTGCGGCGGCTGACGGTGTCTATTATGGAGGCCAAAAGCAGGAGCAACATGGCCAGCAACAGAAACCCCATGTTGCCACACGGCCAAGGCGGAGCAACTGTTGGTCGTGCGAATCCCGCATACGATATTCGCACTTCGGCTGCTGCGCTTCGGCTTTTTGCCTGTCGTCTTTTGTCCTCGTCCTTCGTCCTTATTTTTCTTCCTGTGTCGTCGGCAGCTGTTTAACTATTTTTCGGTTAGTTTTTCGCTGCGCTTGCATTTCAATGACAAATTGTTGCATCTCAGAAATGCCCGAAAAAAAATCCCCTTTCGACTCACCTGTGTTTCTGGCGTTTAAATCAATATTCCATTTCTCAAACCTTTTGTCGCCCAAAAAACATTGTTTCGAGTGCTCAGTCGCTTTTTTTTTTGTTTTTAGCGATTTACTTACTTTTCACCATCTAAGCGGGCGGAAATACTTTTGCGATTCTTGGGCAGACATGTTTTGTTTTTGCATGGGCGTTTTAAATTTATTGCACAACATTCAGCATTACAAGAGCGGCAACAAAAACAGCATCAGCGGCAACTGATAGCGGAAAGTTTAATGGGAAATGTAAATGTTACGCCATTGTATGACATACGACAATAAAATGGAATGAAACAGAAACAATAAACCGATGGATGCCAGGCCCAGGATTCCTACACAGGTTGTTGGTCCCATTTCCCCTCTCAAACGACCGACCACCTCCTTCATCTCTCTATCACACTGAAAAAATTATATTTTTTATGATATTAGGCCTGGATTTTACGGGCACAGAGTAATCATAGCTTATTACTTAGGAAGAATATTAATCTAAAATCTAAATTTAGTCTAGAGTAATGAATATTTGAAGTTTTATTTAAGCCAGCAATCAGTCAAAAAACTACACGCTTATTTTAAACAGTTTTCAATAAGAGATCTTATTGTTAGATCCCCTTTTAAATGAGTTTCTTTTAAATGTCAAAGGCTAAAAACAAACTTTGATTAATTAATAACTTAACAAATAATAACTTTTTCTTACACAAAATCTTCTAACTTTTTAATAAAGCTAAGAATATATTAATCTACCGGCAAAGTTCTTCATATTTTTCTCTGTTGAAACACATTCCTCTTCCTATTTCCCTAGTCTCCGCTTGGGTTTTTTTTATTTGCTGTTATTTTTCTGCGGCTTCGGCCATAATTTACAATAACAACAACCCAGATAGGGGCGGAGGTGGCTCAGGGGGGCGTGGCAGGGGTAGGTAGATAGAGAAATGTGAAGCTGAAAATGAAAGAGTCGAACAATGTGGCTGGCCCCGGCTTGTGAGGCTGCCGTTTTGCATTCGATGGATGAAAATAGAGGGGAGGGGGGTGTCTGCAGGGAGGCTGATTCCGAGGGGGGGAGGGGGTCTTGCGGGAACCGATAGCTACGCTACCGTTAGCAGTCTAAAACGACGAAGCCATCGAAATCGCGCCATGCAGTTCTTCTTACTTCAGAGTCAGATATTGTATTTCATGGCGTCTCGCTCGATATGTCACGGGTATGTATGTTCACCTCTACATCTGCATGTTTGTGTGTGTTCCATAATTCAATTTCAGAGTAAGCCCATTCACAGTCACAGTCATAACCACCCACAGCCACCCACAACCAGCCATAACCACCCACAGCCACCCTCAGCCACCCACAGCCACCCACAAACACCCATCACCACCCACAACCCCCCCACTATGCATATAAGGCATTGATCTGCCCTAGCAAAGCGCTTTATGTTTTATGCGTGTGGCTGAAAAGTTTAACGAGGCATAAACAAACATAGGGCTATTGTCGTTGCCACTGCAGACTGAATGAATGAAAGTTGGCCAAATGATATATGCTTTGCCCAGGGATAGGCATTTTTTTCGGATCCACCCGGAAGCAGGTTTACAATATATGAAATAGAAATCTGATACATTTTTCTTTCACAGATTTATTAAATCGATTTAAATTAAACATACAATCACTTTGTTACCACCTTTCACCCAAAAGGAAGCTTTTATGAATTTATAAAACGTTACCGTAAATAAAGGAAAAATGGCAAAGTTTTTCAGCTCAAAATCAACATTGTTAAATCAATATTGGTTAAGGAAAGGAAGGCAGCTTCTTAGCAATCTGTGAAATTGAGATGAATTATAATTAGACGTTGAGTTATTAAACACATAAATGTTCGTAATTTAATAATGATTTTCAAAATTGCTTGCCAAGGAATTCGATATTAGCTACAAATTGGATGACTTGCAATGTGTTCTAATTTAATCAGATTTTGAGGTGAGCTTTAGAAATTCTAGCTTAAACAAATTTTGCCTAATTTTACTTTGTAATCTTAGGAATTAAAAGATTTGGAGTGTTTTCAGTGTCATAAAAAGTAATACAAATAACTTTGCTTATAGTATACCATATTTTCTAAAGTAGTTTCCATCTGGTAAAGACATGAATCATTCTTATAGAAGATCCTTATTAATCATTTTCCCCAAAAAATATCGCAAAGTAGTTATGACATTGATTGCAAATTCCTGAGATGTGCCTTTGCATCTGTTGGTGTCGAAGCACCGAGCCCATGCTCAAATTGGCTTATCCATAATCCAATTAACCAGGCAGATAGCGCCGTGTCACGGCCACATCCTCCTTACATAAACCATATGTTTCGTCACATGCAATTTCCAAAGCAATTAACCGGCACACTCTACCTGTCTGATGGAACATCCATCGCATACCCGAACGCCTGCAGCCTGTTGCTAGATCCTGCTAGATTCGGTGCATGTGAGTGCCAACGAATTGAATTTGTCGCGCATCGAACAAACTTGGCAATTCAATCAACGTGCCTGCTGTTGTTGCCCAACTCACCCCATTTCACCTGCTTTTTTGACCATGAACCTGACTATCGAAAATCCGACATCGACCATAGGGAGTTGTCTTGCCGCCATGACTTTTGACCATCGTTTGTTGTTTGCTGTTCGCTTTGCTAATTGAATTCGCCCGTTTGTCGCCTCTTCCAGTGGCAGTGTCAAAAATTACGCATACGCCCGGTTGGTGCGCATTAAGCCGTTACGGCTAATGAAGCTCACGAGATTGACGGGCCAATTATGGCGATGATGGCATCGCCATTGTTTCCCTTTGCAATTGAATTACATTGAAAACTTCGTTAGGCTCGTTAGCCAAGCGCGATTTCTGCGATAAACACGCCCGGCAACTTAAAATGCAATCAATGTGCCAGCTTCGTTCTCCTCTGCAGACGTAATCTCGATTAAATTGATTTTTATTGATACCCAGAAATGGTACTCACTTAGCACTTTGGCATTACATGTATGTATTATATAAATGCACACGGAAATAAAAAACTAATTAGCTTAAATTGTACAATTTGCTTATTATGGTGTGTTAATGAAAATCTCAATGTGATCTGTAAAGTTTTTTAATGATTTTTAATATGCATTTCACATATCGAATAATACAATTTCTGAAAAAAATAATTGTTTAAGTCAAAGCGTTTTTATTAATATCTGCATATATTTTTGGAAGCAAATACATTTTTTACAGCCAATCAAAGAAATTTACATATTACCTTTGGTTTCGTTGTATTATTATTTATTTCATACAATTTTACAGGCTAGAGCGTTTTAATTATTACTTTCATTGGCGATTTTACTTAAATAAAGGCTGTGGATAGTTTTTTATAACTATTAATAAGTTTAAATTCCAAGTGTAAGCTGTACGTAACAGCGAATGATTCCCCCATTAAAGAATGCACTGCGTGTAAAAATAACTCTTCACTAAAGAGGTATTTTCCTGGGCAATACTGCACAGTGCAAACACATATAGCTGCGAATTGGCACAGTTTGAGGCACTAAGGGGGTTCGGGAACTCTTTCCTTTCGAAGGGCAACGGACTGCCTGAAGTAAATCCCGGCAGATTGGTTGCTCTGGTTACGCTTTATATTCTCCCAAGCTATTCTTATTTTTTCCCCTTTTTTTTAATTGATGTTCAGTGCTGATTGGTTTTCCAGCAGCCATTCGAGGCGTCGGGATTAAGCGGAGTGCTTTCAATTTGCACAAATAAAAATAACAATGGAGCACCCAGGAGCATAGGTGGTCGGCACTGACAGTCCAAATTGAATGGCAATTTGCTTTTATTGAAGTGCAGCAACTGGTTGGGCCTGTCAATGCAGGAATCGAGTATAATATTTCAGCTGACCAGGCAGCCAAAGAGCCAAACCAAATCACAGCAAATACATTTATTGGGCTTGCGAGTTTTTTCTCTAGCTTCTCGGAAGTTTTCTGCTCATTGGCGCCTGCGGCACGTACTTGTATTTTGCTGTTGGCCAACTTGTCAGCCTGAGACTGCCACATCCTCCTCATTCTTGTCCTTGTCCTTGTCATGCTGAAAATATAATTAAAGTTTTTGACAGTTATCTCGGGCCAACAATGAATGAATGTCCAGTCCCTGCGTGATTAATGATGTCGCTTTGGAAAGCGGAAAAATAAAATAGAATTTAATCTGCAGTGGGCTGGAAAGTGACCGAAAAGCACACTCAAATTGAATCACTTGATCATTTATGGTTGATTATGATAATCACTTCGAAAATGGCCAACCGCAAAACATCGGGCCCGCCCAAATTATTTGCTCTCCAATATTGTCCATCAATTTAAATTCTGCCCATGTCTGAATGTGAATGCAAACGTTTTGGATTTTCATAGTGCTTAGTGCGGTTGTGGTTGCATTCAAATGAGAGTGAAATATTTAGCGAACTCTCGTAGTGCCGTTAAAAATTGTACACCGAAATATGGCTAAAATGTTACAAGCGAAAAGGTTATTTGTGGCATGTGCTTTTTTTTT